GTACCTCGAGGGAAGGGAAACAAACTGCCATTTGTGGGCAATTAGGCCCATAAAGTAACCCATGGACCACCGGTTGTGAAACGTTGATTTATAAGTCGACCTTCAGTAATTGAAAGCTAACGTAAAATAACAGTGCTTAACATTTCCTATCATTTCTCACATTTCCGGTTGAAATTCGCATTGTCACTTGCCCGAGCACTGACGTCCAACGAGAGACAAAAAACAACTGAGAACAGTCAGGAAGCAGTTCAGTGCCCGGCGTAAAAGGACGAATATCTCTCTCATGCGTTCCGAATCGCTGCCAACTCATATAATTAGTTCATACTTCCTACTGCCCGCGCCACGTCTGGCGCAGACGCGCATTGTGGTGAGAGGCCACTGAGCCTTGACGGGAGCTGGTGCCCCGCTCAGCCTCCAGCCGAAGGACCGCAGTGCGCATGTTCGTACCGTTCCCGAAGCTACAAATTAATTACAACCTAACGATCTTGGGGAAACGTTATTACCTGCGAGCGATTCAAATTACTGAAGCAGTGGGCCTTGGTTTATAGCAGAATTATCTTGTCTGAGAACGACATATTAACCTTGTATCTTGAATGGAGGTGGGAAATCCAGCAACCGCAGGTACCCTGTCGGACTTCCCGACGTGGCCCAAGGGCTAATTTCCATCACTTCATTCTTTGGATTCAAATAAGGGCATATTAAATTCGGCTAATGCTTGTTACCATTCAGTTCAGAAGCTTTTGTCTTATCATCTGCTGTCTAAAATCGTAAAAATTAATTTTTTTTGGGGGGGGGGTGACTTGTAGACGGCTTTTGGATTGGATGATTGGATTTATTAACAACTTGAACACAACACTCAGATATTATTATATTTCAGCATCCTGTTGCTCTGTGGTATAACTTATAGTTTTCTTTTCCGTCCATAGTGCAACAATATTAATTTAATAACATTAATTCAGGAACATTTAGTGAATTAATGTTGTTAAATTAATATTGTTGCATTACAAACAGAAAAATACTATAAATAGTTGTTACAGCACTCAGAACTACAAGCAATCAAAGCGTTATCGCTAATCTCCGCACTTTACACTTCACTGCTCAAAACACGCTAGGATTCTCAGTCTTCACTAGTCGTGTCCTGACAACGGATTTATAACATTTTTTTTTTATTTCATACATCTTGCCGTCTCACTGTAACTTCATATGACACAGGAAGTTCTCTTTGCAGAGTCAGAGTCAGAGTTACTTCACGACTGGCGATTTACCGCCAATCAGTTCGTCTTGGCGTCAGGCCCCTTGAGGCCCACGACCAGATTTTTTTTTCCCCAGCTGAACTCTTGCGGTAATAGTCCTTATGTAACACCGCTCCCTCCATTCACTGCTGCAGAGATGTGTTTATCCAGCCGCACTATGGCCCTAGGGTCGACTCAGCCTCTAACAGAAATGAGTACTAGGAATTTTCCTGGTCGTAAAGGGCGGCATGCGCGTAAGGCTGACAACCTCACCGCCATCTGTGATCCGATTGTCTAGAAAACGTGGAAGCCTCAACGTCTCTTGGACCCCCAAACCTTGTTACAGGGATAGATTTACCTTTTACCTCTTACGTAAAGTGTCTAAATTGTGTCTAAAGTGTCTAAGTTGCAGAAATTGCCGAATTCATGAAAACATTTTAAGACCATGCAATGAAATGGGGAAGGCAGACGGACGAAGATTACTCTTAACTGTTGACCTGCGTAGCAAAGAGTATGACGGGAACCAAGGAGACATTAATCGTATTTAGAGGCCGGTACAAGCATTAAGCATCAGAAATCTTTAAGACAAAAATAACAGGCTCTTACAAAAAGAGAATAAAATGTGAAACGAAAGAGCACTGAATACAATCGCACAGAACTGAAAACCTTTAGGAGTCAACAAGGGGGGAAAAAATGGCTCCTTTTGATACCACATCACAAGGTCACTTCCGATAACGACAACATTCTGACGTCACCGTGAACATCCGATGAAGAGGAAACTGTATGTTGCTGCTTTATCATTTAGAACCATCTGCAGACTATAGAGGCCTGCGCCTTTTGACAGCTCTTCCTATAGAACCCCCGCCCCTAAAAAGAGGGTCATTTAATACGTCACACACAGATGTTTAGTAATGCCGCGAGATGCGTCACTACGCAAGGACGCAATCATTTTGGCGAGAATGCGAATTGTGAGAAATCTGAAGAGGTAGCAAACGGTTATGTGATGATTACATTAATGTAACAGGCGCGTCAGGTTCGCGTGTAAGCCAGAAAACAGTGCGACCGCCCTCACACGAGAAAATCAGTAAAGAAAAGTTTCTCTTTCAAAACTGAATACGTCATTTTGTTCTGAGAGTTGTAGGAAATATATTTATTCCACAGGGCTCCAAAATAAGGCTGCCCCTATATCTAAGAAGCAGTATTTGGAAAAAAAAAAAACCTTGCTTTATATTTGGGATAACTTAATTAAGCACTACGCCATGAAGGCGTATGAGGGAGTGGATGTATAAATCCACATTTTCTTGACCTCGGCACTATCTGGAGGTGAGTGGTCAGCTTCACGCCTCTGCCGCTTTATCCCCAGTGGAAAGATCCCCGTTACACATTGATTAGGAGGTTGCATGGACCCCAGAGCCGGTCTGGACGATATGGATAAATGAAAGTTCTTGTCCCTACCGGGACTCGAACTCCGATCCCTCGGTCGTCCAGCCAGAGGCCTATCGTTATACCGACTGAGCTATCGCGGTTCTTATATTTGGGCTAACACTGTACGAATTATATGGATCTATCAGATTTTGTAGGTCACGAATTTCTGTATAAACTCAAGGCTGAATCAGATCATTTGCCAAGTTTACAGAAGAACAGAAGTAAGGTGGCCGGGGCGTGTGTCTACATTCAAGTAGCGCCGTCCGTAATAATGAATGGAGCTATGCCTCCATGGACTGGTGCTTACTGTAGCATTGAGACAACTTTGCCGTCAACCTACAGGTATATTTCATGCCTGCTGTGCATTGAAGTCACCTTCGATTGGACTGACAATACAGCTTAAATGTTTGATACGGATCTTGAGAAGAATTACTCTATAGTTTCTTGCTTCGTGTGAATAAAAACAGCAAATAATTTACAGTATTTTTCACTACAATTGGCGGTGGAAGCATTCAGCAGTCACATGTACTGTGGTTTGGAAGGAAGTAAAGGAGGGTCGAGGAAGCAAGGAAACGTAGAACATAAGCGGTACCAAATGTAATATTTAAACTCACCTCAGTCGCCAGTTCTCATAAGAAACAGTATATTTTTATTGCTAGTGGGGTGGGACTAAGTCCCTTGTGCTGCGGCCACTTCTGGCCTATTGTACCAGCCCCAGATGATAGGTGAGGGTGACTGTGGAGCAATTGGTGGAATTAAGATTGGCAGGGGAAACCGAAGTACTCGGAGAAAAACCCGCCCCAGCGCCACTTTGTCCACCACAAATCCCGCTTGACCAGACCCGGGCTGGAACCCGGGCCGCCGCGGTGGGAAGCCAGCGACTAACCGCTTGAGCTATGGCGCGGACACCACAGTCTCCCTGCTACGGTAACCCATCAAGGGAGTTAACGTGGCCTGTCCGTAAAAGCAATTTAGAACATTAACTTGAGACGATGCCTCGCCTCAGCTTTCACAACTCCTGCCAATTTGGCCTTCGGAGACCGTATCAGTTCTTCAGTCATTCGGTTAAAAAAAATCAAACAGGAGCTCAATCGTGAAACTTCTGTTTTTTCTTCTTTTTGGTCATGGGACTACTTCCGTTTTCGGGTTTTCCCCTCATCCGAGGTCATGTGATGAAATTTATGCAACCTGACAATGATCATTTTATTTTCACAAGATTCTTTGCTGGATTACGTCGATCTCTGATGATTCTAAAGCAGACATTTTGACGATGATCTATTTCTATTTGGACCAGTCGGGACGGCTCAGTCGATATGGCGGTGGGCTACGAACTCGATGACCGGGACGCGATTTCCGGCAGAGGAAAGAGACATACGTCCGCACCAGCCCTGGGTCCCATCCATCTAAACAGTTCTTTCGGAAGAGGGGGTTAGGCACGTGTCACTGAGATACCGAGAAATCAGCAGTTTCAGAGCAGAACAGTACTATCTTCTGGGATAAGACGTCGTGTAATCTGGTGTATGTTGACCGACGTTTCGGAGAGATATACTTGGCCCGCAACGTCGGTAAACATATACTACATAAACAGCCATGAGAATATAAAGTTCAGTCTCTAGAGCGTTTCACATTAATTACTGAAGATTTATTATTTTTGTCGTGCCCATTAGTCTGTCCATCCCTCTTGGCCCCATAATCTGTCTATGGTGCTACAGCCCTTTGTGGGACCTTGGACGCTTTTCCAGTTTCTTGATCTTTCATACACTCCTCGGACGGGGGATCAGCCTGTCGCAAGGCCGCTACCTACACACAGGACAGCACAAACACAGTATAAACGCTCAGAGACATCCATGCCTCAAGTGGGATTCGAACACACGAAATCAGTGTTTGAGCGGGAGAAGACAGTTCGTGCCTTAGACCGCGCGTCCACTGTGATGGGCTTTCACCCAATGATACCATTCTAAATTGCTTTATTTACTTTAATTTAGTATTTTTAATCATTATTAAAGTATAATATTAACAATTACAACATCTAAACCTGTTGGAATTGAGGTTCTCACAGTGGTACCTATGAAGAGTACTTTCTTAAAACAGCTATTTGCTTCATGTTTGTTTGAATGGCTTACTCTTTGACTCTGAAGATGAAAGACGAACTTTCCTCCGAAACGCCAGCAAACACGACGTCGCATTCCAGACGACAGTACTTTTCGTCTTAAACATGGGCAAAAAGTAATTACGATATTCAAGGGTCGGTTAATTAGTTCACTTCCTAAATAATGTAGTTAAGTGTTACTTGTTTTACAAATACAGTCCAGGGTATAAGGCAGAGTTCTGTTTGTCCAACAGTTTCATCCAGCAGGATGACGCTGCCTTCACTCGATGCGGCTCGGAGATCGCAGCGGCCATACCGCTACGGAATGATCTTGTTGTGTGTGGGAGCGCTCATAAACTGGCTCGGTCTCGCAGAGAACTACGTGGAGCCCGTCCGGTATATTGGAGTGGCCTGCATAATTGCGGGAGCCTTGCTCATATGCGCGGCTATGTGCTGCTGGTTGCAGAGACCCTCCCCTGACCATCCGGATAACATCAGTCAGGTAAAGCAACATTTCTCATGTTGAGAGGGCTACCATAATTTGCTGTTGTGTAGATGTAACATTGATGTGCGCTGAAAATAACTGTTGAAGATTCGTCAAAAAACATCCTCATAAATATTTGATGGATGTAATACCAAATTCGCCGGTCATTGTAGCCAAGCGGTCTAAGGCATGCACTGTCTTCGCTTGCTCGGAAGCCGGGATCGTGGGTTCGAATCCCACTCAGGGCATGGATGTTTGTGTGCGTTTTCCTGTGTTTGTGTACAGGTAGAGGCCTTGCGACGAGCTGATCACCCGCCCAAGGAGTCCTGCCGAATGTGTAAGATCTAGAAAAACCGAAGTGAACGGAGAAGTTCATGGAGGTAGGCCTAGGCCCACTGGGGCTGTAGTGCCAAGGGGGAAAAAAATACCGAATTCAATACTCAGAAGAAAATAAATTAATTCCCTGCAGTTCATATACGAGACTACAGGCTTACAAACTTAAAAAAGAAAATTATAATAAGACTGGATACATTTTCTATTAGAGCCAGAAGAACTACTTTCGTGTTTCCATTTTTCTATCGCTCTTTCTCTCTCCTTTTTGTTTCTTTCACGATATTCTCACTCTTTCGGTAAAAATAAGGTAAAGTTGTCCCTGTGTTTAACTAATTAAGCACTACGCCATTAAAGCGTATGGAGGGGTGGCTGTATAAATCCATATTTTCTTGACCTCGCCATTAGTTGGAGGTGAGTGGTCAGGTTCACGCCCCGGCCGCTTTACTCCCAGGGGAAACCCCGCGTACCCATTGGATAGGTTGGGTAGACCCCGCACCCGGTCTGGACGACGTGGAGAAGACAAAATTCTTGACTCTACCGGAATTCGAACTCCGACCCATCGGCCGTCCAGCCCGTAGCTAGTCGCTATACCGACTGAGCTGTCCCGGCACATATTCTCACTCTTTCTTTTTAATTATTTTTGTTTCTGTGTCTCTGGTGGCTCATTCAGTACAGTGACTAGGCTACGGGCTAGACGACCGAGGAAACTGGACCGATTCCCCGCAGTGACGAAGATGTTTATATTCTCTGCGCGTCTAGCCGGGCCCTGAAGCCCGTTCAGCCTCCTGTCCAACGGGTACATCGGCTCATTCGTAGGTAGTAAAGCAACCGGGGGCGTGAAACTGACCACTCACTTCCATCTAGTGCCGAGGTTAAGAAAGCTTGGAGTTGTTTCCTCGGAATGAGAGACCATGTTTCACATCTATACAGAACACGTGACAAAGAAGAAGAAGAAGAAGAAGAATGACATCTTCTGGGATGTGGCTCCTTGTAGATATTGTGTAAACCGACGTTTCGGAGGAACGTATCGCCTCCATCTTTAGGGTAGAAAAATCCGCGAGCGTGGAAACAGCGTAAGCAGGTGGCTGCAGACTGAGCCACCAGTCGAAAACACCCAGCTATATAAGAACAGGAAGAGAAGGAGAGTGAGCTATGTGAGAAATCAATAGAGAGGAGAGGACAGTGGAAAGAGTTATCGGAAAGTGGACAGAATGATTTTAGTCTCTAATTTTCATCTAATCTCGCCACACGTGTCATTCCCATCTGTTACTGCTGCTCCATGAATTGTAATTATGAAAATTTTTCGAATGATTTATAGTTGAAATTATGGACTGATTGTTTTATTTTTATTTCACTGTCTTCATATTAAGCCCAAATTCTTTCTTGGTCTATAAGCCTTTAAATTTTGTTTGCTTCAATGCCTCTTTAATTAGATACTAAGATATTTCGTTGCAAGATATCAACTACTCTGACTTTCAAAGCAGCTTTACACTCGAGGCTGAAACAGTTTTTCTGTCCTTCGCGTTTCCGAACTTAAACTTATAAAAGTGGCATTTTACCCGATGTGAGTTCTGTGACCCACATTCCTGAAAGTTCATTCACGTTCCATTCATAATTCGAACCGTTCTTCCTCTTCCGATGTCGTGACATCAAAACGGAGAAACGTCGCGAGACCCGGTTTCCGTTTCTGATATTCTATTCTTAGACTCATAAAATATACACTTGTGCTACACTGGCATATACTTTCGGAAGTTTGGATTGGTGAATAAATTTACTGACCACTTACAGGAAGTGACTACAAAAACTATAACATTATGACTATTTCAACACTTTACAGTTCGCTGGAGCACAAGGTCTAATGTTCTCAGTCTGTTACTAGACGTTTCCTGGTAACGGCTTCAACAATGGCTATTCCTCTACATCAGGGCTCAAGTCCTGTCTTCGCAGATTCCCGTACAGAATTGAAATATCAACTCAAAGTCAAAGTCACATTTCACACTGCGACTGACGGTCAGTCAGTCAGTAAGTCTTGGGATCGAGCTCCATCTGGGGCTCACGACCAGATATTTATTACTATTTAACAATTACAGTCTTGTTTTTTTTTTGTGGGGGGGCCCTCTCTGACAAGAGGACGGGTCTGTCTTTTGTATATGCTGCTGGCCCTTGCCACCGCAGTCTCTCTCGGGTCCAAGTCCTTTGGGATTCGCGACCACATTTTACTGTCTCAGATTTGAGACTTCTCTTTTCGTAGCCACCAACGATTTGAAATCTACTGACCTTATCCCTTGCTTATAACAACTCGGCACGGACGACATAGAAAAGACAGCTCATTTATTGTGTTATTCCAATTGTTGCATTATTAAGAATCTGCTGTCTAACTAAGGGAACGTGTTTAACGAGCCGTTACTCAGAAACGGCCGCTGTATACAGGGTCACCGCTCAGCAACGGAGCTATACGCCATAATATTAAAACTACTTTGTATTTACTTCTTGGGCACTATTTCGTTCGTGGAAGAATAAGGATGGCCGACATTTTATACAACTATTCGCTTTTAAAGAGTATTACGTTTCAAAGTCAACCGACGTTTCGGAGGAACATGTCGCCTCCATTTTCAGGCCCAAAAAACTGATCAATATACCAGCGTGAAAGCAGATGGCAAGCAGAATTGTTATGAAGGCTACTCTTCTTAGAACTACAGAGTTTTAGTTGAGAATACTGCTGTACTTAAATAAGAACTAAAATTTCATATGATCGTCGTGTTTACGCACACATTAGCGTGTCATTACACAGGATGTTCTGACACAAAGCGAAGTGTATAACTTTTCCATGATAAAATTGCTTTACAAACCCTAATCACGGCGAAGCACAAGCTTTAGACTGGAACGTCACGAAAACAGACAAACCAGTCATTTTAAACCAAATTTCAAACACGTTTTTCTTTTTAAAGTTTGTAGGCCTGATTTAACATGAATATCCCCTCTTTACACAATTCGTTACTGAGCGCGTGAGAGCAGGAGCAGAACGGCACAGCGTTAAGGCACTGGACGTGTTACCGTCAATCACAGTGAGGAATCACTTTCACTGGCGGGGAAATTTCACCAGTGTAGGAAGGCTCGACAGTCCACATATCTTTATCAATTTTCGCTCCAATTTTCCCAATTGTACGCACTTTTTTATAGTTTTTTTGGAGTGGGGGCGAGACTCCACTTGGTACGTCGACCACTAGTTGGCCTATTGTACCAGCCCCGGATGGTAGATGATGAGTGGGAAGCAGTCGCTGGAATGATAATTGGCAGGGGAACCCGAATTACTCGAACAAAACCTGCCCCAATACCACTTTGTCCACCACAAATCCCACATGACCTGGGCTCGAACCCGGTCCGCCGCGGTGGGAAACCTGTGCCATGACACGGCCTATTGTACGTACTTATTTTCTTACTTATTCCTTGGCTCTACGGCCTTATAGGAACCTTGATATTCTTTACGACGCATGCGCATTATTCTCTATTATCTGTCTCTTGCCCTTTTTTCCCCCTTGGCACTACAGCCCCAGTGGACCTAGGCCTTCCTCCATGAACTTCTCCGTTCACTTCGGTTTTTCTATAACTTACACATTCGGTAGGACTCCTTGGGCGGGTGATCAGCTCGTCGCAAGGCCTCTACCTGTACACAAACACAGAAAAACGCAGACACACTAACTAAACATCCATGCCCTGAGTGCGATTAGAACCCAAGATCCCGGTTTCCAAGCGGACGAAGACAGTACATGCCTTAGACCGCTCGGCTACCGTGACCGGCCTCTTGCCTTTTACCTCTCCTAAATCATTCTGTGTATCATCCAGCCTTCTCAGTCTACGTTGCCGTTTCTTTCCAAGCTGAAGCAGAACCTTCCGACGTCCACGGCCACCTCCCACCTTACTCATCCATCATCAGTTTTAGAATATTTTCGTAACAAGCTTATTTTTATGGTGAGGAGGTGTTAGCCCCACACCCAACGCGACTGCTTATTCAGTACATTCGCAGCTTTCATGAAGTGTGCCGTGTTCTGGGTTGTAACTGTGTAGTTCGCTAAAGCCCGACGTTTCGGAGGAACACAACGCTTCCATCTCCAGGGCGGAAGTGTAAGACAAGCAAGAAATAGGTTGTTTGATGAACGGCAATTGAGCCCAGAAAACTTTATTCCTCATGACGTGTTCCTGAGAGTTCTTGTCGAAACGTCGAAATAGGATTCGTCATCCGGCTTCATGGTCTCGCTTTGCGGCTTGTATGCTACCATTATGACAATATCCTGAACCTTCAGTAGCCGGTCGGATTCTCGACATAACTGATCAGATTATATCTCGCTCTCCGTCTCGCTTTACTGCCTAACGAGACAATGACGGCCTCTTGGCGACTTCCTTCTTTAGCCCTTTCTCTTTTTTGTACCATTTCCTTTTCTGCATATCCCATTTTATTTCTCGCTTTCATTTTTTTCTGTTATCTTCTGCCATTCTGTATTTACGTCTCTGTTCCCTCCTAAGTATCCCGAAACGTTCTGTCGACGCTCGGGCCGAATTCTCTTCGCGCCTGTAACAGGAATGTCTCCTCAGATAAAACAAAGGAGACAATACACAGGAAACTAATAGCTCTAACTTGTGTTGTATTCTTGGGGAATACCCGCTATTGATATAAAATAACAGTCACG